CCCGGGGAGCCCAGATGTGGGCCTCGGTGGGGTGCCCAGCCTTCCCTGGAAGACCCCTCGTTGTGCTGCGGGCCCCGCGTGTCGATTCCAGCTTCCCATCTGAAGCTGTAGGACTCTGACCCAGTCTCCACAGCCGTCAAGGGGGAGCACCCTGGGGTTGTGATGAGACTGGCAAGTGGGGCCTCCGTCGCCCCTGCCCTGCCCTGCCCTGCCCTGCCCTGCCCTGCCCTGCCCCTGCCGGCTCTGCAGGGCTTTCTGTCTCCTGCATTTGCAGGGGCCTGGCCAGGGCTGGGGGAGGCGGCCTCGCCTCCCAGGGACTCGGGACCGAGGCAGCAGCATCTAGACCAGTGATGGCGAACCTATGACATGCGTGTCAGAGGTGACAGGCAAACTCATTTTTTTGGTTGATTTTTCTTTGTTAAATGGCATTTAAATATATAAAATAAATATCAAAAATATAAATCTTTGTTTTACTATGGTTGCAAATATCAAACAATTTCTATATGTGACACGGCACCAGAGTTAAGTTAGGGTTTTTCAAAATGCTGCTGGGTGGGCCCACGTGGGGGGCACTGGCTCATGCATAAGCTCATCTATGCCCTGCCAGCCACTCCTGGGCCCCTACTTCACTGTGTCCCACCGAACCTGAGCCTTCACCCACCTCCTCTGTGCCCGCCTGCCTCATGGGTGGTGTCTCATTTGTGCCTACCTCACTTGTACCCTGTCCCCTTCAGCTGGGCCCCACCCACCTCCCCTGGAACCCACTCCCACTTCAGCTGGGCCCCACCCACCTCCCCTGGAACCCACTCCCACTTCAGCTGGGCGCCCCATCACATGTGTGCCCCTCACCTGTGCCTGCTCCCACCTCACCCATGATCAGATGCCCATTTCTGGCCCCTACGCTGCCCTCTCAGTACCTCAGATAGGCACGCGAGAGTGTGCCATGGCTGGGCAGCAGCGGCATGCCCCCAGGGTGCCACGAGGACATTAGAGAGATGGGGGTCCCTTTGGTCATTGGCCCCTAACTCCTTCCTCTCTCCTAAGGCCCTTGGAGCTCTAGCATAAACAGGACCTCCCAACCTGACCTCCCTAACTTCTTCGTGAACCCCGCATCCGCGCTCCTGCCCCCCACGGGACAAGGGCCCATCCGCCTCACCTGCATGGGCAGGGACAGAGCAGGTCTCCAGGTGCCCGTGCTTATGCCCCACAGGCTGGGTCACTGGGCCCTTCTGTCACCCTCGTCACCCACCCAGCCACCAGAGGCCCACCCAGGGACTCTAAACCAAGACTGCTCACCTGCTGGCTGCCAGCATTTATTCACCCAGACAAGCTCTGCCCACCCCTCCAGGAACCACTCTCAGGCGCCCGTGTGGCACAGGTGGGCCCCCGTCGAGTTTCTCATGAGGCTGCTCAGGAGCCACCCCTCCTGGCTGTGGGGCGAGGGCACCTGGGAGCCCGGGGTGCGCAGAGGAGGAGGTGGAGTCGGGGCTGGTGGCGGCTCAGCTCCCATGTGTAGACGGTGTAGACAGGCGGGCAGTGGCCAGAGGGATGCACGACTGCACGTCCACCAGTTGCCCCCAGGCCCTGTCCAGACCTCCCTTCTCCGGCCAGCGCCCCCACGCACAGTCGCCCTGTGTCCTTCCTGGGCCTTGCCGCTGGCCTGAGGGCAGAGGCCGGGCTCTTTCCCGAGATGTGCCAGGTGACTCTGGACAGGTGGCCACCCTCTTGTGGCGCCAGCCCCTCAGCAGTGGGCACACTTCATCTCCGGGGCCACCTTCAGGTGAGCACGGGCCCTGCAAGGGCGACTACAGAGCAGGGGCCATGGCCAAGACTCAGCTCCCGGTCCACGGGCCTGGGCTGCAGGCCCCGGGCTGGCCGGGCCGGGTCCCCACCGCGACCACACTCAGGGCTCCCAGCCACCTCGGCTGCAGCTCAGCGGCTGGGATGCTCAGGCACAGGCCTGCCAGGCCCGCCGCCAGTCCAGGTGCCGGCGACAGCGTCTCCGCAGGTCCGGCACTCACT